CCATCCAGACGCTGAGGCACGGGGTTGCCTGTGAAGATGGTCTCACAGTACAACTGTCAACTCCATAACATTAGAGAGGCCACTTCTGTCAGTGGCAGGACAGCCAGGGTATATTCACAGGACTAAGCAAAACTGTGTCATCACGAGATGGTGAGCAAGACTATCCTATCATTAGACACAAGAAAATGACGCAACCTATCTCCCATAAAGACATACGAATCAGAGATCAGCAGGACACAGCATATGGGTAACAACGGTCACCTCCGGGTTGTGAGAATGCTCAACCCGAGTTCTGTTCGAGTTGCTTCTCTAATGATGCTGTAGAAGAAGCAACCCAGTCATCCTCATGAGGACTCAATGAATTCTGTACACAGCAAGAAAGAGATGAATTCTATCTAATTAAAAAAGTTCCAGAAGATTACAGCCATTTTAATTCTTCTACAAAGTTACAGATAACCAAATATATGCTTTGAAAAATTCGTTTGGATATGGCTTTTTTAGGTCTGCTGTTGGCCTGCGAGGGCCCTGGGGTGCATTGTGACAGGTACAGAGGGAGAAAGTGACTTCACCCACTGCCTCGGTTTTCATATTGATAGAAGAGTCAGACATGTTGGCCAATTATTAAAAAATAAGGAAGCAAATGAAAGAGCCACACTATGAGCCAAAGATTAGGATTAGCCTAGTCTGTGCATTCAAGTTTCAGCAAGGGACAGAGGGTACAGGGAGCGTCAGCCCCAGTCAGTGCCTTCCTACCAGCTTTTAAAACAGTGCAAGTTGTTAAGATGGTTGCTTCATTTGTAAAGACAAAAACTAGAGCCTAAAATCCCCAATGCTTCAGACATGATTACGAGAGACTGGTATTGGGAAAGCTGGAGCAATAGCTTACCACCACACCTGCAGCAGAAGGAACTCACTGCACGAAAAGGAAGGCCTTCTGTGCCCACAGATCGAGCCCAGGCATGCGCAGCTGAAGAAAACTGAGAAGCGACTCCAAGTAACTTATCAGTTATGGTCAAACTTCCACGGCTTAAGTCCTTGTACATCACATAGATCTTGGTTTGATACTTAAGAGGACAATAAGGAGACAAGATGTGACAGAACCAGTCAAAACCAGCCCTCTCAACTACACAAACACTGCAGGGTCCTCAAGGCCAGAGACGAGAATCCGGAGAGTGGGGTAAGCAATTAAACCCTCTCAGCCTAGCCAGTCATTACGGAAACGGAGACTAAGACAAAGCACTTTTGAGGTCTGAGGATGTAACTCAGTGGTAAAGAGTACCTGCCCAGGGTTTGTTTGTTTTTTGTTTAAAATAACAATATAGACTTTACAATGTTAAATTTGGCAATGATTTCTTAGATATGACACCAAAAGTGCATACAAAGGCAAACACACATTACGAATTTCAAAACTTAAATCTGCGGCTGGGAAGATGGCTCACTGGGTAAAGGCACTTGCTGCCACGCCTGGCGGACAACTGAGTTCAACCCCTCAGGTCCACAGGGTGGAGGAAAGAATCGACTCCCACAAGTAGGGCACGGGCATGTCTAGATGAGCGAAATCAGGCACAAAACAATACGTGTAACTATTACAAAAAAGGAAAACTGAACAGAACGGGACAGAAGGCAACTTTATGGAATGGGGAAACGCCAGCTAAACCGTATAAGAGTTAATGTTCAGAATACAGACGACTCCTACAGGTCAACAATGGGAAGAAATCCACAACCTTTTAAACATGAAAAGGACCTGAATGGGCATTTTCCAAGAAGTTTACACGATCAATACGTACATGGAATGGAAGACCACAATGAAATGTCACCTAACATCCACCAGGATGGTTGTGCTGTACCCTAAATAACTGAAAATGAGTCTCAGGGAGATGTATCTGTGCACCATCCCCACCACAGTGAAGTCCTAACAGCAACTGGCCAAGGGTAGGAGCAACACCAGTGTGCTCATCAGCACACCAATACCAAAAAATATACAAAACATCAATTATCTAGCTTGTATGAAAGCAAAGAAAATCACACACCAAGAGGAACTGTAAAGATACTTTGTAAGCAAATCAACCAGTCAAGATAAATACTGGGTTGCAGTGGATAAAGTTGCTGATAGTGCAAGCCTGATCACTTGAGGGGGATCCCTGGGAGGAAGGAGAGAACCAACTCCGGACGATTGTCTTTTGACTTCCATACGCATGCCCACACACCAAAACAAATGTAATAAAAGACAAACACTGTATGAATCTACGTACATGTGGAACTTAGAGCACTCATAGAAACATAAAGCAGGAAAGGGCTGACGTTTCAGTCGCCAAGGGGGTAGTTTCAGGTTTTGCAAGGTCATGAGGTCACTTGATCAACTCAATCTGCTTAACAGCACTAAACTGTACACTTAGAAATGGCTAAAGCTTCTGAGTGCATCTTATCACAAAGATGTTAAAGTAGCAACCAGTCAAACAGTACATTGAAAGAACCTGCTAATGATAACTATGAGAGCAAATGATAAACACACAAGAAGTTGGAATCACAAAACCACCCATGCACACTGGCCAGGCACACCACTGGGAGTATACATACACACCAGCTTCACAGAACTATCCACAGAACAGTAACTCAAAAAAATCCCTTCTGGACAGCAACTGAGCAACATGAACCTAAAGTTAAGATTGACAGTCATTTCCTTCTAGAAACTGACTTGGATATCTCAAAGGAATAACAAAATATGATAAAGCTTGAGCTACAAGTCAAACCATAATTTCCTACAAGGAAAACAATACTCAAGGCAGGTGGGTGAGGCAAGCGCCTGCCGCATGAGCCTGGTGATTTCATCCCTACAACCAACTCTCGAAAGTCATCCTCTGGCCTCCCCACATTTGTCAATATTTAAATGAGATTGTTGAAATCAACAGTCATGGAATAGAGCATTTGGTACCACCAAAAAAATGCTTTGGCTCTCAGACAAGGTTTTCACTATGCATCATGGAAAATAAGTCGCAGGACAGAATTTAAGCACAACCCCACTTTCTGTGTAAAGGTCACATACAGCAGATGCCCAGAAAAGAAAAATCTGAAACAAATATGCCAATAACACTTGTTAATGGAACATAAATGAATTTTTCCCCATTTGCTTTTTTGCAGAATCTACAGTAAATCCTCTTCACGCTTGAGAACTCATTAAAAGTATTGCGAGAGGTGTGGGAAGGGAAGAGTTGTGAGTGCATCCTGTCCAAGGGCGGGTCCAGGATTCCACTAGTTCTCTTTTCCTTGACAACCCATTTGCAACCATCCTTTGAGATGAATATACAAATATTAACCTGTTGGAAGTACCCACATTTCTCTTCAGTACCAGCAGTTAAGACATGGATACCACCCAGGGTTAATGCTTCTGCAGCCCTTGGCAATGCCAATAGGTTGGCCCACATTAGAGATCCTTTTGGTCTCTTAACATCATAAGACAAACCACGGGCAGGTGTCGGAGTTGAAGTGCGCCACCACTGCCAGGCCCTGTTTATCTTTTTAAATAAAAAAACCAGCCACCTCTTCTCTCTGCTCCATTGCTTTCCATCCAGGCAGGATCAGCGTCAGCAATACCGAACGCCAGCTCAACTGTTGCCTCTGGAGTTCTAAGAATGAGCCCACACCCACTGAGGTAATATGGCCATCAATAACTCAGGACCCCAGGGCAAAGACCAGTCCTTGCAGGACATTGTGGCTCACGTCTCATCTCCAACACTTGGGAGGCTGAGGGAGGACTGCTGTGAGTCCCATACCAACCTGGGCTGTCTCAAAACAAGTAACAAAATCCAAACCAACAGCCCTCTAAATCTGCACACAGGATTGCTCAGCCTCCGGTTATCCTGTCTCTAGACCACTTTTAACGTAGCTTGGGACAACAAACTCCTTACCAGTCTGCCACAGAACATAGAAAACCTTTTAACAGTATAAAACCAAGGGTTCTGGAAAGGGAATGGAGGTGCAGAAACCAGGTAAGAAGCCAGAAGAGGTTAGGATAGACCAGACTGGAAAGGGCCGGTAGATGGGGCGTGGTGGTGCACACCTCTAATCCCAGCACTTGGGAGGTAGCTGCTAGTGGATCTTTGAGTTCTAGGCCAGTCTAGGCTACATAGTAAGACCTTGTCTCAGAGTACGAAAACTAGTAAAAACAAAGTGTGGGTAGAGAGACCAAGTCTAGACACGAAGCTCCTGAGACACCCCCATTCTGGCTTCTCATTACAAAGGGAGAGGTCACTGAGGAGCTGGCACAGCAGAGCCCCACCTCCCCCACTGCTCTCGTGGAAGACAGAAGACCACCACTCCTCACCCTTTGCTTGGTCCCTACCCAACCCCAGTTCAAGACTCATCCTTCCCAAGACAATGGTTCACTGCAGTCACAGGCTGCCCTCTGCTTACAGCTAGCCGCTTCTAGTCTAAGCTCAAAAATCTAAGCAGCAACATTTTCCAGTTGTAATGAGACACCAAAACCCAATTCATGTACAGGTTGGCTCCCATGATGAATCAGTTACATTCCTACTTGAGACTAAAAATGTGTTTACAGGCATGATACACTAACTTTAGTCATGTACCAAAAGATAAATGAAGCCCAACTCCTCAGGCAGATGAGAATTACAAGTTCACACCCAATTCTCAAGCCCGCACCAGCTTCCAAAAGAGTGAAGATATAAAAGACTCATACCTTGTTAAGGCTGTTTTCCCCAAACAAAAAAACATACCGTTTGAAATACAAACTGGGAATGTTCTGTATTATTAAGTTCCAAGTACTTCCTTACCTGGACACTCAGCATCAGATCTGCAACCCTTACCAGCTCCCAACAGTGAGCAGCCCCTGTCCCTGCTAGTTGACAGCTGCTCAGACCAGTTCTACCAGGGTGAAGGTCACCTATTCTAACTGCTTCGGTGACAGAGCTGGGACAGTGAGTCTAGGCCTGACCGTGTATGAAGTGACAGGGGGCGAGAATGTAACAGCCATACAACAATTCTAAGGAGTTTCGATCTCAAACCTTTATTTTGCTGTAAAGGAGAAAATGGTTAGTGGCTGTGCACACTTCAGAACACTTTAGTACCAACAAGGGGGTGCTGTGACCCGCTGTTACAGCTCTCTCCACAATTCCCCATTCCAACGTGACCAACACTCTGCTGTTCCAATGACAGTGATCATTCCTGGTCACAGCACATTTTAAACCACACACATCAACACAACATAAAACAGACAAAATCCCCGAGGTAACAGTACTGGGGACCTGATTTTAAGGGAAAGACAACACGAAAAGCCATTGACTGCAACTTTAGCACTCAGACACCCAGGGTTTCCAGAGTTAATTTTTACAGAGCATTATCTTAGTAAGATGTCCCCGGCAGCCCCGTTTGACTTTATTTCCCAAACTCATTTGACAATTACAGCTTCCTCTCTGCTCCGGGATGGTTTGAAAGCACCATTCAAGCTAAAAACACAATGTATTCATAGCAGCCTTAGCAAGGGTACAAACAAGGATCAGGTTTTCTACCAAACGTTACAGTAATGTCATAGCAAGTGCAAGGCCTTGTTCCCTGTCACAATGACTCATCTGTTAGTCAAGTAAGCAACCCCTGTTGTCTCCTGGTCAATCCCAGAAAGTCAGTATGTGTTTCATAAGGCATGACTCGCATATTAAATTCCTGTAGGTGTTGTATAAGGCATGACTCGCATATTAAATTCCCGTAGGTGTTGTATAAGGCATGACTTGCATATTAAATTCCTGTAGGTGTTGTATAAGGCATGACTTGCATATTAAATTCCTGTAGGTGTTGTATAAGGCATGACTCGCATATTAAATTCCTGTAGGTGTTGTATAAGGCACGACTTGCAAATTCAATTCCTTTAGATATAACAGCATTAGAATTTTCAACCACACAGTATCTGATAGGATTTGAATTATAAACCCAGCAGTCTGTCAACCTCAACAGCGGAGGCCAATGCTCTAAGAGCCCACATGTAGGCATTTACAAGCCCTTCCCCAGCACTCCTCTCTACCCCATCCCCATAGGCTGGCATGTGCTTGGGCATTCTTGATTTGAGTTTGACATCATCTTTCAAGCAACTAAAACAGTTCAGATACAACTTCAGTATTGCTCATTTAACAGCAAAGCAAAACAATTTTGCTTTTCCCCCTGTCTTAGGATTGGTATGTTCCAAGCAACTGTTACAGCACCTCAAGTATTCATTCACCCACATGAGGATTTACCATCAACTTTGACATTTTCTTTATGAGGTATTTAGTTCCCAAATTGTTATTCCCATCAATCCACATCCCTTGCTGCCCCCCCCCCCCCCCAATCCCTCATCAAACCTCTGGCCAAGACACCAATGCCAAGCTGAGCCCTGCTCTCTCCGGCAATCCCACCTCCGGTGCAAAAGTATTCTGAAGCCTGACCCAGCAAAACTCCAGGTTAAGCTGGACAGTGAAGTTTTAGATGACACCTGTGATCCCAGCAGGGTTGAGAGCAGAGGCCAGCCTAGTATACACAGCCAGGCCCCAAGTCGGAATCCCTCAGTGGGGTAACACCTGCCTACCACCCAGTACCAAAACCAAAGCCACAGAACAAGATTCCCAGGGACCACTGCAGGCCCACCATTCCCTTCTAGGTACCAGATGCTATCCCAATGCCCAAATTAGATATGCCATCTACAAAATCCCCAAAAACCTTGCAGCCAGCTTGTACCCTCCCGTACTTTTAAAAACGCAACACCCCACCCGTGTAGCGATTGGCTCCATCTAACTAATACTCTTCCACTTCAGTCATTTTACATTGAACAGCGTTCCCCAACACCCAAAAGTTTTATCACACTTAGGAATGCCTCTGACCAGTGCAGAGGCAGGCAGGCTGCAGAAGCAGGGAAGGTGTCGAGGTCACTGGGCTCCTCTGCAAACACCATCTACAAGGCATCATGCTGTGTTGAGTGTTCTACACCTTAAGCAATCTTCTCGAGGCCAAGTTCACAGCACAGACCTAAAGACTGGAGGCTTGATTTAGAAGATGCAGCAGCTGAATGCCTCTACCTCCAGGAAGGGGGCTGCTGGCTGGCATTCATGCATCCGGAGAATGGTGCTCCCAGAACAAGACATTCATCCGGAACATTCACAGCCGACAGCCACTCCGGCAGGAAGCGTCAGCCCGTCCCCACCCCCAGAAGCTGGTCTGGACCACTTAAAACGATGGCTTTCTGAACACAGGGCTTCCCGAGTAAGGCCTGGACACATGGCAGTGCAGAACTTTCTAAGCCTCTGGAATTCACTGTGTAGGCATCAACTTAGGTCGCTGTTTCCTCCAGGGTCTACCCTCTTGCACTGTTAGGACTCACTGGCAGGGGGTCCATTTCTCCTGGTGCCATCTGCTTGCCATGATGAACACTACAGTAATAAACCACGTCCATGAGGCATTTGGGTGACTGGAACCATGGCTGTGAGCCCACCCGGGGGTCCACATTCGAGCCCCACCCTCTGCAAATCAACACCAACCCTCCCCACTCAGTCAGGGTGTCCTCCACTTTTACCAGCAATACCAAGAAACCGAGTTCAAGACTCCAACACCAACTCTCTACCTTACCCAGGCTTACCAGATGACCCAGAGGCAAGGTTTTAAGTGAACCCATAACCTCAGAGTTAGAGGGAAGAGAAGGGGAAGAGAGATCACAGAAGAGGGAACCACGGAACCTAGGGAAAGTCCAGAGGGGGGTACTGCCACCTGAAAAATAAAGCTGTGATCAATGTGGCCCCAAGACGCGCGCCTTCAATCTCGGTGGTCCCCGCCAAGCAGACCTGTCAGGTGAAGACAACTCCTTGCCTCTACAACCACTCCTCGGCCACCCCTCACACCCAAGACTGGGTGCTATCAGGCCAAGCCCAAATTACGTACCACCCGGGGCCAGAGGTGTCAGCCCCGTGAAACTTAGTCCTTTCCATAAGACCAGGCCTCATCCCCAGGCGGGTTCACAACCCCTATCTGGAAAAAAAGGGTCTGCTGGTATTGTCAAGTTCAAAGTTGATCCCCACTGCCCACCTAGCCCTGGGCCCACTGCCTGTCCTTCTTCATGACATCCAGGGCCTCAAGGGCCCGGGTCTACCCGATTCACCACCTGCTCTGCCACTCAAGCTGGAACACTGGGCCCATGTGGGCCCGTGAGACCTGTGCCCTCCTGGAGGTCAAGTGCCCCCACTCCTACAGACCGCAGGGCCAGCCTGGCCTTGAAGGCTGCTGCCCCTGGGTGGACTGTTGAAGGCGCTTTGGAAGCTGCCGTCCACACGACCACTGTCCCCAAACCTAGCCTCATTTTTAGTTAACCGCCCTTCTCCCTCCCCCATGCTAGCGGCTGCCTCTGCCAGCTCTGTCCTCTGAGCCCTGAACTAGCCACTTCCTCCCCACCACTAAGACCAGACGGCAGCCCTCCTTGCCACTAACTCCTGCTGGTGGTGGGGGGGACACAACTTTTGCTTTTATAGCCCTGCGTCGCGTCACCCAGGCATTGCTCAACGGGACGATTCCTCCACGGGCACTTCAAAAAAAAAAGTTCCTCCCCGACCTAGCCAAAGGGGCCCACGAGGGGCGTTGACGGCTTCCGTCGACGGCCCCTCCCTCTGATTGCTCCGTGGTCCTTTTTTGCCCCTCACTCAGCAGGGCGTCCCGGGATGGAGGGCACATCTGACTGCTTCCAGAGGGTCGGGTGGGGGGTGGCGGGGGCCACACTGACTGGCAGGGCAGAAGGAAAAGGACAGGTCACCTCGGGTCACCACGCCCCGCAGAGGCCCGAAAGAAGGGCCGGCAGAAAGAGCGCCTGGAAAATTCCACCGGGTGGCGGAGGGATCTCTGCGGAGGCGCCGGCGGCGGCGGGGGGCGGGGCGGGCGGGCCTGCGCGTGACTCTTCGGGCGTTGTCGCCTGCTGGGCGGTGACGTCAGCGCGGGCGCCCGCAGGGCGGGGGTGGGGAAGAGCTGGCCCCGCAGTTAGGGTAGGACGCTGCGTTTGCGTCGGTTCGTGTATGGGGGGGGAAAGGGGGAAGGGGAAAGGGGGTTGCGAGCTGCGGGAAAGCAAGGTTTTTGTACGAAACACACACAGAGTGAGTGTGCGTGTATAAAGGTGAATGATTGCAGGGCGGCTTGCACAGATAAAGTGTTTTTCCAAAGCATCTTCCTTGGGGGTGTGGGAGGGTGAGAAAATGATTTTTTTTTTTTTTAAGCTGCGTTTCTCTGCGACAGTTTATGGCCTGTAGTGGGGTCCAGGGAGTGGGGTTGAAGACCTCTGGGGTGCAGGCTGGTTGTGCACTTGGGGTGGGGCCCAGCCCAGGTTCAGAAGCCGACCTTTCCCAAAGCTGAGCAGGGAGAGACAGGGTGGGGTTGGGGGGTTAGTGAGGTTTTTGAAAAGGGGAATTGTCACCGCCCGTGCCAACGAGGGGCCCCGGACAGCCTGAGACATCTCGGCTCTGGTGCCGCCTGCCCCCCCCCCAAAAAAAAACACAAAACTGTAAGGACAGTTGAAGAAAACCGAATTAGAAAGGCAGCTGGCAGGCTAACTGCCGGAAGTCTCCCAGGCTCGCCACCCACACTACAAACAAACCCACCCTGGGACAACAGGCTCCCTTGACAACCAGGAGGGGAAAACCAGGGGGGAGGACGTTCTGCCTCTGGCAGATGGAATCTGCAGGCGTGGCCGGGCCGAGTCTGCACCCTGTTCCCGGAAAACTGGTGACTCTCATGTGACCAGCAGTACAGAGGGTGATTATGTGGCAAGCGCTGGCCTGTTCACTGGTGCATGCTTAGCCTGGTTCTTATGCCATGTACATTCCTCCCCAGGACTGTCCTATCGGTCGTTTACTGGTTTATTTTCCTGCTTTTTGTTTCTTAATTCCAGACATTGTTGTTCATACTGCCCTGGAAATCACGGCAATCCTCCTGCCTCAACCTTTCCAGTGCTGGGACTCCAGGCATTTACCATTCTGTCCGCCTTTGTCCCCTCTGCTTCATCCTGGCAACATTTCCAGGCGTGGGTGATGGGGGTGGTGACCGCCGTAGAGAACAGGGAGTTGCCTGTCAAAATGTTCTAGAAAGCCAGGAGGCGTCTATGAAACCAAGCCGGAGAGGCTTCCCTGCGGCTTTGCATGCCCAGGCTGTGGAGTCAGCCCTTTCTTTCTGTTTTTGAGGTGCTTAGGCATTGTGCGACCACCTCCAGAGCCCATGGTGTTCTCTTTACTTCTGGTCTCAAAATGCCCCTCCCACACCATTCCGCGTCCCAGGAACAGCCGTTAAGACTTATTTTTGGAATGACTAGGCTAGGGCTAATATGTGCCACACAAAACTAGGGTTATAGAAAGCCTGTTGCTTGGTCACAAATAAATAGGGTACTTGTGTGCCTCACACCTGCAGCTGCTCAGTGACTGTCCCCAGTCCCCAAGGGCGATATGGCAGGTTCAGAGGTTCCTGATCTTCAAGGACAGTTTTCCTTGAGAAGAGAATGTATTTAAGGGGAGAGGTTTGGAGGCCTTGGGGGCCAGGTCTGTGACCATGGCCTTTCTTGGTGGACAGACACACAGCCTGGGTTCTGCTTGCTTCCTCTTCAGAGATGACCTTCACCGTGCTGAAGGACAAGGGTTGGGCAGCCACCGCCCAGCCAGTTTCCCCAGATCAAAACAAGCTGTCCTGGAGACTGTTGTAAACAGGGCTTTGGGTGGGGCTGAGTGGTGCCTGGCCTGATTCTACCGGGAACCTTACCATGGGCCTTCCCAACCAGCTATGGGGTTCTGGGTTGGGGGGGGGAAGGGGTCCTTTTTGTGACATCTGACACCAGGTGGGAGCCCACTCTCCAAGCCCTTTCTCAAGGACATGGCAGTCCCCATTGGCCTCGCCATCTTCTTTGGAAGTCAGCTCAACCCTGTTGATTCCAAACACAGGCACAACTCAGGGAAGGACCTCAGGATTTCCTACAAAAATTCTTGGACTAATGGGAAAAAAGTGATGATGCTCCAGGCGTGCCCTAAAGGCACGGCCACGCCAGCATTGCTGTTACCACTAGAGAATATTCTGGAACTCTAGCTACCCGCCCCATGGATCCAGTTCCTGGACTGTAGCCTCTTGGGTTCCCTTGGGCTTTTCCTGGTGCCAGAGACCACCTTAGCCTGGGCTTGTTCACACTGAGCCCTGAAACGTGGATCAGGAAACTGCCCAGTCACTGTGTGCTGGCAGGAAGCCTGCCTCTCCCAATCTGCTGGCCTTGCGTCAGCCAGAGCAGAGAAAGAGCCTGGGCCCTGCCCAAGCCTGCTAGGCTCTTCCTGTGTGGGGGGGAGGGGGAGGAGGGGCGGGGATGAGGGTGGGGGAGGGGAGGGGGCTGCACGGCTCCACCTTGCTTTCCCCATCTCTTCCAGAAGCATACTGTTTTTATGGAAACAGGTCTTACCCAGTGGCTCCACTCCTGTAGGCCAGGGCCACAGTCACCTCTCAGTGAGACTCTGGGCCCTAGCTACAAATCTGTACCCCCCCCCCCCGAACTTGATCAGTGGGGAGTGGGGTTTCTGGGCCCACAGGAGCTCTGGCAGGAGGTAGGCCCCCATGTGGGTGACTTCACAGTTTAGGTTTTCTAAAAGGTCACTCTGAATCCTGTGAGGCTCTTGGTAAATATTTGTGGACTGACTCAAACAAGGACTTCAGGTCAGTGGCACCCCATGATGTGGTGGCGGGCCCTGGTCCTGAGTACCCAAGGCTCAAGGACTAGGGTGGCCAGGGAGAAGGTGCTTTGAGAACTCAATGTAAGCAGAAGGGACTTGCGGAGAGGTCCCTGGAGGTGGAGGGCTCGGGTTCTGTTGTCCAGGTTTGCAAGGCCAAGGAGACCTGCCTGCTTCGCTCCTGTTTTCCTGGCCCTCTCAGGTCTAAAGGCAGGAAGGAGGGAAGGGGTTCTCAGACAGCAGGAGACTGCTCAGGTGTGGCACCCTGCCTTTCTTGGGCATGTGGGGTCTGTGGGCTCCTCATCTCAGAAGCCCTTTGCCAGCCTCCGAGGGTTGGCAACCCCTCAGCTAGGCCTCCTACCGTGACTTGCAGAATGTAACTTGGATGATGTCAGCCCCAGGCACTCAGAGCTCTTGGGACTGTGTTCCTGGCAGGCCCCACATACGTTCCCACATTCCGGAGCACTTAGCCTGACCTTGCCCTGGGTTCTTGAGCTCCAGGCTCCTTGGTACTCCCCTTCCTGAACCTTCTCCATGCTCACCTTTCTGTCACCATGTCCTCCAGATGGAATTGTGGGACCCAGCCCACAGGCTTTTTACCCTGGGTCCCCAATAAACCCCCATGACCCCTCTGGTGCTTACCTACTGACAAAGCCTGGCTTTCCTAGGTTCCTCAGCTTGCCCTGTGTGCCCTTTCCCAGCCTCCTTCCCAGTCCACACACTGCTAATCCTGGCAGCGGGTTCCTCTGGGGCCCTCTGCTGACACCCTGTCATATCTCTCTGCACCCTCCATAAAGCCCTTCCTCCTTCTCCAGGACCAGCTGTGTGCACACAGGGCACCCTTAAAAGGACATGTCCTCAGCCCAGGACTACTTGCCACTCTAGGGACCACACACCCTGGTACACTAGACTGTCCTTGAGCCTTCTACAACCTGCTGTGGTCTCAGTGCCATCCATGGACAATCAGAGCCGGGGCTTCTGCCAGTGCACAGTAGCAGAGCTCTGTGACCCTCTGCTGACCTCGACATCAGGCCTGTATTCAAGGCTGAGGGTGTCAGTGGTCCGTACTGACACCACCACCCAAATGCCAGGGGCAGGTGGCAGGAGACAGAAGTCCTAGAGAGGAGTTGGGACTTTAGTCTATTGTAAATCCTATTTATATAAAATAATTTAAATCTGGGATCAAGGGAGTTCCTCAGTAGTAGAGTGCTTCCCAGGATTCACAAGGCCATAGGTTTGATCCCTGGCATTATTAGAAATGAAATAGCTGGAGGGTTCAGTAGGTGGGGCGTGGAGAGGCCTGACTTAAAGAGGGCTGACAGCTGGGAAACCTGAAGGTGTGGGGTGGGTGGGCTTGAGACAGCTGCTCCTGTGGGAACTGGGTGAAACACAAGGGGGGGTCTTATGCCCACGGTCTGCCCACCTCTGGAGTTCCCCAAACAGTCCTGCTGGCTTTAAATATTTTGACAGAGTTGTTATTTACAGAAAAACAGGTTCCAAGGCAGAATCCATTTCAAGGTCCTGGATCCTGGGGTTCTTGGATACCTGGGTTCTAGAACCCAGAGGCAGGAGGAAGGTCCTGGCCATCAAGAGTCAGAGAGTGTGCTCCAGTAAGGGTTCTGTACCTGGTGGCACACCTCTGTTTCCCGAGGCTTGGACAGGCCTAGGCCAGAAATGCTGGCTCATGCTGCCTGAGGCCCAGCAGAAAGAAAGGGAGAACTCAGCTGCCCCCTGCTGGTCACAGCTGAGCCGGCTGCTTCTCTCAGGGCACAAGAAAGAGGGTTCATCCATCCCTTGGCACTGGACTTTGTGCTGAAAACTGAACCTGTGAGACCCGGCTCAGCCCTGTATCTTAGCTCTGGATGCAGTTGGGTAACCCATCTGTGTTCTCTGAAATGGGGGGTGGGTTGGGACAGGGTGGAAGCATCAGGGACGAGGATGGGCAGTGAGAATATGTCCTGAAATCTACTCTTCCTTGGGTCCAGGCTGCTCATGTCTGCCAGGCTCCAGGTCAAAGCCAGGCCTCCTTCGTGAGCTCTCTGTTCCATTTACCTTGAAGCTGAGCTGGGAGGTGGGGTGGGGAGGGCAGATGTCCTTCCGGAAGTCGTGTTGGTCACCGATCCTTTTCTGGTACCTCTTCCTATG